CCCTCTTACCCGAAGACAGTTTGTCAGTTGGTGTTGGTCGGCGGTGGAAGTATGATACAACGCGTGTTAATTATGCACTCTTGATCATTGTGCGCTCTTGATCATATGAACAGTACATACCCCCCCCCCCCACACACACACACTCTCTTCTTTATTATAATTAAAATATGTTTTTGATGATTATTTCAGCCACGCACTGCACTAGCAACGGATACTAGTACAATGTCATGTTTCCAGCGAGCACAGTACAGTGTAGTCTGTAGATCTAGGGGACACGAAGAATAGTTTGGGAGCGAGACACTCTGATCTGGTGAGGATAGCTTATCAGTACAGTACTGTTATTTTGATCATGTACATACTACAGTACATACTTTTTTTTTTTTCATGTCCAGAACGTTTTCTTGTCACAATCATCAGTTACGGGCGAACAAAACACAATTTGCAATGGCGGAAGGATTGAAAACAAATCACATAATGATGACGTCGCATGTGATCAGACAGCAAGAGAAGCATAGCATAGTCCGCACAATCACGGGGCAAGGCTCAACGGGACACCCTAGCCTCCACGACAGCCAGGGAGGCACAGCCATCCATTGGAGGCTGCCAAACTCGGCGAGCCCCACGCAGACACATGACACTCGAACGCAGCAGGGCGAAAGACAGCCTGCAGCGGAGGTGGGCAATTAGCACAGAATACGCCTCCCTCCCACATAGCGACTGGAGATGTGCAATCCGGCTCACCAGTGCAGCGGCACCCTTGCCGCATCCTCCGGTGGAAGAGAGCACAAAGGGGAGAAAAGTGGATCGCTCCACTTCTCGGACTCTCCGATCATATCGACGCCGTTTCTCTTGCTCATGGTGCCGGTAGCAGCCAGAGAGAGAGGAGGTGCGGTTCGAAGACGCATAAGGGTTGAACACCCGTACATCAATAAGAGTGCGTTCGAACCGACCCCCCCCCCCCCAAACTCCACTGGCCACCACATCCAAACGAGCTTGATCCTCGGTTGATGCTGACCGGAGCTGAAACTGCTCCCCAGTCAGGGGTTGGAGATGTGGCTCCACTGCGACGTTGTGGGCGACACCCTTCAATGAGCTTGCCAGTATGTCGCGCACCTCGTTGTGGCGGATCGAGGGGAACCCACCGAAAGGACAGGACAAGGCGTGAGCAGTGGTGAATGCCTTCTCGCAAACACAGGTGGTGGGCAGGCGAGAAGGCGTCCAACCGTAACGGAGGCAGAGGCCATCCCGGAATTCCCCCTTCGACAAAGCGAAGCCATGGCGAGCGATGGGTCGGCAGGTAAGCCAGCTTGATGCTCCCTTCTCCTCTGCCAGACTGATAGCGAGATCGAGTTCGCTGTGTTCGGTGCGGAACGTATCGGCAGCTATCTTCATTGCCTTTCTGGCCTCAGAGCGAGCCTGACTCTTGGCCCTGCGGACACAGGCAAGAGCATCATCGAGGTGCTCTTCTTGCGCCATGATCTTGTCGTACAGCGCAGTGGTGATTAGCCTGGAGGTGCCGTACTGTGAGCCAAAAGTGGCAGGGTTGGCCACGCCGAGGCCTCCATGCCGGCAGGGGAAATTGAGCAAAATGCGTTCAGCTTCACTGGGCGCCGTCCGTCCACTAATGGCAGGGATTAGGCGGCGGTGGATGATGTCCTCCAGGGGTGCCAGCTGTTCTGCAGCACCATCGAGAACCCGACACAGGAAGGACCACCGGTGTTGGAGGCTGTTCACCAGTGCAGAGTAAGCTGCTTGAGGCTGTGACCGGGCGAAATCTGTCAGCTTGCACAGCTCCTGCGACCAGGTGGCCACCTTGGAAGCCACAAACTCCTGCACAAACTGATCAGTTCCGATGGCTGATCCAAGGTGACGGCACCCGTCAGTGGTGATAGACACACCCGTGCCGGCGAAGATGGTCTCGGCTGCCTCTAGCTTGTCCCGCTTGACGACGAGGACGGACTTGCTGGGGTTAATGAAATACCCGAACGCCGGCCCATCCCCGACGAGTCGGTCCCACCACTGGCGGAGAGGGTTGAGCCCGCCACCCGCGGACGAGTCATCCGCATACCAGCTCTGGCGTGTTCCTGGGGTTGCCACTCTGCGCACCAGGGGGAGTACCCCCAAAGCGTACATCGGCATAGCAAGAGGATCTCCCTGCGTTGTGCCTTCTCGCGATAGGAGGCACTCCCCGTCCACGAATAGGCGGGCCGGCTGACGGTAGCAGTTTACGATAGCGGGTGTGATGGCTGGACAGAGGTGCGCTACGTTGCGCATACATGCTTCTCTGTTAAGGCGATTGAACGCATTGGATGCATCCGCCATAAGCACAGCGTCAACGTCTTCTTCATGGAACGTGTCGTGCATGGCGTGAATGGCCGCCTCAATGCCACATTCCTGGCCTCCGCACATCTGCAGTGACCCTGTCGCCTCACGAACAGAGTCCCCCGCCACGCTCAGAATAGCCTTGCCGATGATACGACGGACGGTTTCGCCGATGCCTATTGGGCGCACACCCGGTTTCTTATCTAGAGGGATAAGCCGGCATGCCGTGTAGGCTTCCATCGATGCTGGGTTGACGTACTGAGTGGCGATTCGCCGGGCACAGCTGGCGAGAGCATCACATAGGTCGTCTGAAATGTCCCCAAACGCTGTGCACATACGCCTCCAGCCATCTGCGTCCATCCCAGATGGCCCTGCAGAACCGGTGGTATGCAGTGCAGCTTGGCGCACAGCGGTCCTGTCCAGCTTGGTGAAGAGCACTGGGTGGGGCTGTGCTGGGGGTTGCCCTGGGAGGAGAGCCGCTGCTGTGACTGCTTCGCCCTGTGGGTGCTTACTGCGCAGCACATCAAGCACGGTCGTTTCTCCAATGGTGTCGTCAAGATCAAGAACTCCACCACCCATGTCGGGGGAGAGTTGACGAGTGGCTGCCGAGAGCCTGCCACGCTCAATGTCAGACGCAAATCTGCGTGCCGGGTCGACCGTGTGTCCCTCGTGCCGTGCGTTTCGCCTGCGGGCCTTGACGATCTGGTCTTGGATAGTCACGGATTCTTGGAGTAGCACCTGTACGTCTCCGGAATCCCACGAGGCAATGCGGCGCTCGATGCAAACCTTGTGAGCTGCTACCGCTACGGTCCCGCCAGGTTTCTGAAGGAGCAACTGCTGCATTACCATCGCCGTTTTCAGGGCGTAGTCAGCTGCACCTGAGGAGTTGTTACCAAAGGCGTGGAAGTGTGAACTCAGCATACGGATAAAGGTTCGGCCCGTGCTGCCCATTGGTACGTCCAACAGGTTTGGGGCAAAATGAACTACCTTCTCGTACGCCTCGGATATCCGGTTGGAAAACGTGGGACCGTCCAGATCTCCCATTCCGAGTGTGGGGTCCCGCAGGGGAGGATGGGGTGGCAGGTCCGGGATAACAGGATCAGCGACGTCCATTGTTGCTTGGGACATGTTGAGTGTGGCTAGCAGTCGGACATCGTGTGGATCTACGTCCCCACTCGCTGGTAGGTCAACTAGGTCCACTACGGTCACGGTGGCACGCTCCGCGTCCGCTGGCTCAGGCGCTTGGCTGGCAGGTTCGACATCAGCACTGCCATTGGTGTCAGGCGAGTTCGGCACCTGTACGGGTACTACAGTGCTACTGCTAGTACTGGCACCGGGAGGCGAGCTCGACCGGGCTGTGCGAGGTGGTCCGTGACGACCGTCTCTGCACTCTGCAAGTAGGGTGGTGGTGAGTACTGCGGCTGCACTCTCGGTGACTACTGGCTTGTGCACATTCGAGACATTTGGTACGGGTACGGAGTCTAGTGTCGTATCGGAAACTGCGGTTGCTCTGTTGTCGGAGCTTGTCGACGTCCTGCTGACAGTGTGGTCCGTTACCGTATCACGAACAGAGTTTCGTGCAGTTCCTACGGGTACGGTAGCTGTAGTCGTCGACGACGGTTGAGAAGACGGTTGGGATGTCGGGGAGCCGTTCCGGCATTTGTTCTTCTTCGAGGGGATACAATTCCGACACTTCCGACCCTCCTTCGTGCAATCGCACCGAACACAGGTGCCGTTGCCGTTGCACCGGCAACAAGTGGCACTCTGCATCGGCTGGTTTGCAGGAGAGGCACGTTGGAGTTGGAAAATCCACTGAAGACTCAGTACATACTACAGTACATACTACAGTACATACTAGTACTATACTGAAATCATACACTGGACAATCTGTGAAAACTGGAATTGGTAAAAACCAGGGAGTAGTAAAATGGTCTAGAGTTACACTTACTGGTTGTCATCGCTTTCATAATATTGGGCAGAACTGCCCGTTTGCCATGCGATGTAAAATAAATAAACAACAACAACAACAACAACACCTGATCACTGCAGTCAGTTTGCGCTCCCAGATTGGAGACCGCACTGGAATGATCTAGATGAAACTGTGACCGTCAACAGTTACTGTACTGCATGATTACCTGGTCAGCGCAGTCACCATGGTCGATGGTCACGCAAGCAAATGCGCAACCAGTTCACAAAAAGACAGAGAAGACATGAAGCTGACGTCAGGCACAGTCAGTCACTGCGAGTGCGAGCAACGTCAGCAAGGCTTTGCTACCTGTCGCCATGGTCGCGGTGCTACAGAAGGCGCCATGCAAGGAGGAGTGCTAGTGCAGAACTTCAGTAAGGCTAAACATTGTCCGGTATGGCAACATGTATGTCAGATTATCGATGCATCACCATTATGTGACCCTGTGACCATGTGACTGTGTTTTTTGCTAGTCACCAGAGTCAAGGGAGTCATGGTTTATACGACTCCCTGCTGGTCACCTGATCCCCAGTATACAAGAACAACATCCCATCTCTACTAGCGTGAAGTACAGTCAGTATGCTGTGTGGTCTACTAAAGCTGCCTGTTCGTTGGGTGCCATTAGTATTAGCATGCCCATTCATCTACTCTCACCATGTAGACTGGCCAGCATCCACACACCATCCACACACCATCCACACATCATGATTGTACTTCGAAGTATCCATGTAATCATTAGCCCTTCTGGAGCTTGCTCAGTTCTACTAGTAGTTCCTGAGTTCCTGGGTGTTGATTTTATCATCAGACTGTTTCTACTCTTACCGGAGGGGTATCGTTGCACAGTTGCAAGAACGAAGCCCTAGCTGTCCGGACTGCACGAAGCCAACGCAGGTCCAAGCACATCAAAGAGGTGACCAAAGCCGAGGAGCCGCGAAGACAGGAATCGTGTGTGCTTCAGCTCGTACAACGCCGCAGCGGTACATCCCCGGACTTCGCGAAGACGACAGCCGCCATGATGAGAGCCACAGTTCTCCTCATGGCCAGTCTGCTATGGATTGTGCAGATGACCTGGACGCCATGCCAGGCAGGTGAGTACTCCGGGCCGCCGACAGAAATACAGCCGGCAGGTAGTAGCCGCAAGTTGAAGTAGATCTAGCTAGGCTAGCTGCACCATACTGTCCATAGGCATAATGATTGCCATTATTGGGGGTTGCAGACGATGCAGTCGCAGCGAACCATATGACTGTTGTAATTAAGTTACTTGAGCATTGAATGATGATATGATGACTCGGGAGGATGCATGCGGAATCGGGAGGATGCTACGTGTGGAGTTGGGAGGGTGCAAGTGGAATCGGTTGGCGGCTATAGTACAGGTAGACTCCCTTTAATTCGAACCTCAAATTGCCAGGCACTTACTTCGAATTATCCAGAACTTCTAATTATCCAAATGCAGCCCCATGAACTGATATGTATGTCAAAATGCTTGAAATCGCATGCTGAATATTTTTGCACATTTTTATTTGCATCAACGAAACACAGGTGGTCATACCGGTCATGTACAACGAATCATCAAAACACTGGATCGACACAAAATCATTTTGAAACTATCTTCATCTTCTAGTGAAGAAGTAACAGTCACTGCAGCTTTCCTGAAACAATTTCAACTAAAAAAACTGCGCTGCCTAATCCTCGTCATGAAAGGCCGTCGGACAGCAGCATGTCGTTCTGAAGAACGGAAGTGGAGCATAGGCATCGACAATATTTACGACAATAGTGTTGTTGTGCGCCAACATCTCCGCGCACGAGCTGGCGCGGGAAGAAAGGCCATCGAGATCCGCGAAGAGAGTCGGCCACCTGGAAGAAGTAGTCTTCAATCAAACCTTTGCAATTATTTGCCTCGCACGGGCTTGAATCAAATTTCGAGAGAAGGTGGGTTTCTTGAACGCTATAGTCGATCCTGCAGCGGACCATCGATCGATTTTTGAGCTACTCTTGGCTAGAGAAGGAGAAAAGAATGAACTTCGAATTACAAGGATAGCAACTCAATCTCACTTCGAAATAAGCGTTCAAAGGACATAGCCAATGTACTGTAAACAGCTCTTCTGTACGAAGACTGGGTTCGAATTATCCAACCGGCGCACTTTTCGTACTTCGAATTATGCATTCGATTTTGACTTGAAGTGACTTGCAGAAGATCGGTACGACGAAAAAGTTCGAATTACACGGAATGTTCGAATTATACCGTATTCGAATTAGAGGGAGTCTACCTGTATTGCGGCTTCAGTAATAATCTTCTCAAATTCATTTTTTATTTTTATTTTACTGGATGTTTACTGTCCTGCGGTAGTCCGAGCCGACAACCAGCAGTCGTGCATGTCGCAGTTGCTCCACGCCTCCCATCTCAACTCCAGCCTCATTCCACACATCGAGCACCTTCTCCTCAGGCACGGGCTGGACCAGGCCACGTTCAGCACGGGTGACTACAGCGCGGTATCCGGACTCCTGAGACACATTGGTATCAAGAACCCGGTGGAGATCTTCCATATCTA